CCTGGCCTACGCCCTGGAATGAACAAGGACAGCATGGATGTTAAAAACAAGATGGAGTAGGTTGAGACAGATTTCTTTTGCTGTCATAATTTTCCTATGTCACAGTTTTCTCACCGTTATAATTTGTGCAAAGGTAGTTCCAAGATGGTTCTAGGACCTTGAGGAGTCCTAAGTATCACAGATGGAAAAATCGGTATGTTAAGAAAAGTACAGTCATAATCACTAACCCTTATTTTAGTTAAAATACAAGCTTATACATAGAAACAAGGCTGCAGTCTAGAAGAAAGTCCGCAAATAGGCAGTGCAGTTTTAATTAGTTGAGTATGGAGACTAATTAATATGCAAATGAGGAGCTTACCAATATTAATCATCTGTTTTACTAGGCAGCTTTTACTAAAGAGTTTCTAACGAGTTTGCAAATTAAGTTTCTTTGACATTAAAAATCAGCTAAACGCCTGTCTGAGAATAATCTCTTCTAACTCAAGGGCGGGAAGGGAGAATTTTTTTCTGGATGAAAAACAGCAGTGTTTAAAACCAATTCCCATGTTGGCAAGCACTGTGCAAGAGTTCTGTATCAACCCTTTCCAGGCTCTAATTGAAACCATTTCAGCAAGAGAGACACCAGAAAACAGTTGGAACAGAGACAAATATGAGTCATGGTGATTTAAAGATACATGACCTAGAAAGTTGCGTCAAAAAACTTGCTTAAGTTGGTGACTGGCATTGTTGAAACACAAAAGAGGTTAGACATATTTGCCTAAACTCCCTTTTATGGCCTTTAACATACCCCTATGGTTCTCTTTACTTGGAAATATTGAAGATTGGGTTGAATGCTGACTTATCAGGGGTGATCTGAGTATGAGGATAGATTACAAAGTGGTCACTTTCATTTTGGGATTCATTTTCATTCAAGTTTGTGAAAAAGTATATGGGCTTCAGTTCAATTATGTTCATCCTATGTTCATCCTATTTTCGATGTCAATTGATTCCGTTATCATGCCACTTGGCTATTAATACAAAATTATACACTACAAATTAATACAATATTTTTATGTTTCCTACTTCCAGGCAGAATGTCAGCAAAGAAATTCTTTTGAAAGACAATAGATTGGATGCAACTCTTCTCTGATCCTTTGCTCCAGTAAATGAAATTCACAGTTGCCCTTAAAAATATTTTCTCTTTCATCATATCCCTATGGAGATTCAAAGGAAACTTTGAAATGATACCTTGTCAATGAGCTCACAATCTATGTTTCTTCTCACATTTTGCACCTCTCCCCCCACCCCCCACTCTTCTATACCTATCAGCCAAAACTTACCATAATTAGGCTAGACAAATTTGTTACCAGGGATCTCCTTTATGCATTCATTCATTCATTTTTTCAATGAATATTGATAAGGTTGAACCAAGGTACGGAGCACCTCCTGCTGTATAAGGTACTTTGGGATGCAAATATGTATAATTAGAAGTTTCAAGGGATTTACAGTCTACCAAGAAAATAAAGCATGTGCCCAATAAGGCCGCTTTGAAGAATTATGTGATAAAAGCAATGAGAGTTGTAGATCTCATGTGCTTGCTGCAAATGACTTTGAGCAATCTTGTGAAAACATTCTGCCTCAATCTCTTTCTTAATATAGCAGAGTCCTAGTACATCGGAGAACAGAATATGATTGGTGATTTATTACTTTTCAGTTTTTACAAGTTTAAAGTGGCTAATATGACAAATACCGAAGAACGGTCCCACCTTTCCCAGAGTAGGGAGAGACCTTACTTTAGTCTGTGGATGTTTACTTGCTGATTGTCAATGAGAATGACCCAATGACATTCACTTGAAGTGTTCAGCGGGGAGCTCTGGACTATATTTTTCAGTTCTGTTATGATTCTTGCTTGTCTGTAGCCTTATTTCTTTTGGTCAATACCTGTGCTAAATGTTCTGGTTGGTGGAAAATACTGTTAAGTTCAGATTCATTAAAATTCATGGCAAAAATGAAAGAAAGTCCTTAATCAAAGGCACAAGATAGATTTTGCAAAGAAATTACGGCCAGAGAATTAATCCAAAATGTGCTTTGGTTTGGGCTTCTGTACAAGCACGTCTTGGCAGCAGGTCTGGACTCGAGGTTGTGGGAGCTGCAGGAGTGGAAAATGGAAATGGCTCATCTGCACCTGCCCTTTCTCCAGAGATTTGTCTCATCATCCTCTCCCATGACACACAGGGCCAGTCCACACTCAGAGAGAAGTCTGCAGACCGTCCTTCCTTGATGCCCAAGCCCCAGCAGGATGGTGCTCCAAGTCACTGTCACTAAATTGCATATGGTGTTTTACAAACAACTATATGATTGGATATAGAATGTATTTCTGTGGTATGTGTGAATTCCAATTGTTTGCTCTAGAACAGCACTGTTCAATAGAACATTCTGCAGTGACAAAAATATTCTGTAAATCTCCATGGTCCAATACAATAGCCACTAACCACATGGCTATTGAGGATTTAAAATATGGAACTGGATTTTTAATTTTATTTAATTTTGATTACATAATTTTAATTTAAATAGCCACATATGTCTAGTAGCTTACCATAATGGACAGTGCAGTCCTAGAAAATAACTTCATCCATTTTGATTTTATAAATGGAAATGGAAAATAACCACCCTATGATAATGACACAGTTCTGACTTAGGTGCATGAATTAATTCTCTTAATTTTGACATAAATATAATGAATGAAATTTCAACCCTTCTGCTATTGATGAAAAAGTAAGGCTTTAACTTCAGTTGTCTAGATTGAATATATAACTGACCAACTGCTCACTTTGATTTTTTTTCCATTTATTATACATCTTGCATCCCACACCTAGCCATAGATAGGTAAGATTAAATTAGTCTTCTACCTTAGGAACACATAATAGGACCTTCTAATAAAGACACAAAATTACAAAAACATAAATAAAATAAATGCAAATAATATTAATAAATTCTGTAGATAATTCAAAATGCTGTTTGAATGAGACTTCTGAACAACTTGGTGGCATGGCTACACTGGAGCTAAATTTGCTATTATTTGAAAATTCTGAAATCAAGTACTATAAATGATGTGTTCTAATAAGAAATAATCACCTCTTGAGAGTATGGTAACGTGTATGAGACTAAGCACAACTAATACAAAACAGCATATAACCTGAATTTTATGTATAGCTCATTTCTGGGAGGAAGTGTTCCCAATGTTTGCACCAGAATTAGAAGCAACCAGAGACTCAATTGGTCTGATGCTAATAACTATGCAGGAGCTTTCCTAAGATGCTGAATGTGCACTTCTGAGCCCCCTTCTACTCACCAGTCTGTGTTGATGAGCCCAGATACATACAACTGACCAGAATTTCATCACTTTTAAACATGCACTATTGAGTTGATGCCACATCCATGAATATGATTGATTTAGACAAGACTGAAAAATATAGCATTTTAGATAACCAGGGGGTTCAGCCGAATTCTAAGGAGAGGTTTGAGAGCACCTGCTCCTCTAGTTGCATTAATACGGCTCCTGGAGGCCAGGCATGGTGGCTCACACCTGTAATCCTAGCACTTTGGGAGGCCAAGGCGGGCGGATCACGAGGTCAAGAGACCAAGACTATCCTGGCCAACATGGTGAAACCTCGTCTCTACTAAAAATACAAAAATTAGCTGGGCATAGTGGTGTGTGCCTGTAGTCCCAGCTACTCAGAAGGCTGAGGCAGGAGAATCGCTTGAACCTGGGAGGCGGAGGTTGCAGTGAGCCGAGATTGCGCCACTGCACTCCAGCCTGGGCAACAGAGTGAGACTCCATCTCAAAAAAAAAAAAGACTCCTGGAAAAATCGACCCACTTGTTTATACAGCCTGTCTTACTTCACAGGATTCTTGTGAGAATTAAATGAGATCCTGGGAGGGTTAGATGACTACAGTAGAAAGAGCAGTCAGATGATAAAAAATATCTGAATTTTAATCCTGAGACTTTACTTAATGTCTTTGAGTTTTAGCTTTCTTATCTGCAGGATGAGGGTAGGAATGTCAGCTCCATATATCTCACAGAGTTTCTGCAGGGATCACATGAGACACTCTGCACGCTTTTTTTTTTTTTTTTTTTTTTTAATTCTGAGTTTGTTATAGGCACAGAGATTTCTGATTTCTGGTCACTGTTTTTTAGATTCATTTACTTTTATCTAGTCCCTTAGTCACCAGTTGCACATATCTACAAAATGATTGGCTGGGATTAGTGGCGTGGTCTATGAAAGTGAAATTGAGTGAAACAAGAAAAACCATAAAAGGTCCCAAATCCATGGCCTTGACTTCATTAAGCAGGCGCAATATTCATCTGTGCGATCCATCTTCAGTGAAATGTAGCCTCCTGACCTTTTGCCAGCTTAGCCCTGCTGTCAGCAGCTGGGGGCCCTGCCACAGGGCTGGGGAGGGAGCCCCGGGTTGCCCACATTGCAGATCATCTCAGGAATATTCAAGAGGGACTGTAAAATAAACCCCCAGTCTTGTAATTTTATTCCAAAAAGCAAAAAATCTCCCAGATAATGAGCATTTTGCTCTAATAAGAACTGTAGGATTGATTAGGTTCAAACTGTTAACAGACATCCTTATGGTTAATGAAGCAGCATTGAAAATGCCTCTGGATTTTTTGGAAACTTAAATCATACAAAAGGAAGCAAAGAACTGGAGGTAGGGTGGATTAAACTGTCTGTTAGTTAATATACTCAAAATAATGGACACAAAATGTTCTTTGAAAAGTTCATATGTATCAAGAGTTATTTCCCCAATGGGCAAGCAATAAACTTTGATGATTATTGTTGGAACATTCTTTGGATAACATATTTTTCTGTGAATCTTGAGTGGGGGACGGAAGCTTCTGCCATTTTAATTCCTTTGTTAATGTCTTTATGAATGCAATTAACACTTCATTCACGCTTCTTTGTTTCTGGATCCCATTAGGATGTGGTTTATGCCAGTTTCTCTCTCCCAGGAGACAGCCCGCATCACACAACATTTCACTCAGCTGTGTCGCTGAGCACTGACAAACTCAATTTACAAAAGGCAAGAGTGAGTTGACACCATGCTGTGGCAGTTGTCCTGATGGGAGGAAACGACTCATTTCCTTCCAAGGTAGAACCCACCTTCTCTGAGAAGCAAGCTTGTGCATAAGAGTGTTGAAGACAAGGAGGTAAGGAAAGCCTCTTGGCTGACACAAAGTAAAATCCCTGCAGTTGAAGAAATGCTAAGAATCAAATTTGGTTCCTGGTCTTCAAAGAAAAAACAGCTATCGCTGGCCCTGTAGGCACAACAGGCTGCTGTTATCTTTATCAAACATTTAGTAAGAGCTAACTAGGTACAAAGTAAGGGAGAAGCCCAGAAGCAGAGGAAATGGTCTCTCCCTTCTGGAGCTTACAGAGTAAACAAGAGGCAAGAGATAAACATGACAAATACATAAGCCGGGGCGAAAGGCAGCACAGCTAAGTCCTGAATGAGAGGCACAGACCAAAAGAACACTAGGAGTTCAGAAGTCTGTGATGGGGAATCTGGGGAAAGCTTTTCTGGGGAGGTGAGACTTAAATAAAAGCAGTTCCCCTGGCCATTCAATGATTGCACTCACCAGGAAAGAGGGAGAGAATAGGAGGAACTGCAGAGAGGGAAGGAGAGGCAGGCATTAGCTAGATGCAAAGGTGCAAAATGAGTAAGAGGGTTTTTGTTCTTGATACATTATTTTCCCTTTATATTAAAGTCTCTCCTCCAATTGACGGGATCATTTCTATTTCAAATATCAGTGTGCTATTTGCTTAACAGCCAAAGGCACTGCAAATGAATATATCTGAATCTTACTAGGAACTGTACAGAAGAAGATGCAGGAGGTCCAAAGAGAAGTCAGAGACAAAAGAAGGAAGGAAGGAAGCAAGCACTGCTCATGGTTTGACATTACATTTTTCCTTTAAATGAAAAAAAAAAAAAATCACCTATAGATAGGCCTTGTACCTGTGCTATAATTTTAAGTTTGGTTTTCTCTGACAAAGACAAAAAAAGAGGAGAATTTCTAATAAGTGTTAAGAAGCATGCCATATTTCCAGAAAAGGAAGTAAAGCAGCTTATAGTCCAAGTCATCTGTGCCTAATGTTAAAGGTGTTTTAATAAGCAAAGGGTAGTATTCCTTATGCAGTTTTAACATGATTTAATGGTATGATAATTGGTTATTTTCTTGTTTCTGAGTTACTCCAGAAATCTAGCCCTTTTCCCATTAGCTATATATCCTTATTACCAAGATCTTTCTCATGTCTCTTTCAACCAGATCTGGGCTGTCAACGCCATCATATTCTATTAGAATAAGGCCTGGATGTATTTCTGCCAGATTGGCCAGCCCCTAGGCATTAAAGCATTACAGACCACAGTCATGCCTGAGCACTTTTTGCTTTAACAATAAGGGTCATTTTTTTTTACATTTTATCATATGAAACTGCTCTTTGTGGGAAAAATGGCTTCCCATATTACAAATAATGCTTGGCCAAAGAACAACTAACATTAACATTAACACTGATTCTAATCAAAAGTTAAAGTGTTGGTAATTTTATGAGGGTTGTTTCTTTCCCTAAAGCAAATAGCTGTCAATTGTCAGTTTTAAAACTACCATGATTTATTGGAAGAATAACAGCTCAGTAGAATTACTGAATTAATTCCCAAACATTTAAAGAGGAAAGAAAAAAAATGATAAAATGGATGGTCTGTATGGAGCAGGGAGGGGAAGGGATGGTTCTGAGGCTAAAAAAACAAAAAACAAAAACCCTTTACTTCTGTCCTTGTGCATTTTTTTAAATAGAAAAAAGCCACTCTGCATTCCCTGGCCTCAAGCCACTAGGTCACTATGTAAAACATAAACAGGGTCTGTGTTTTGCTGCATTTGAGAAAGATGTAAAGGTGTAAATATGATGGAAGAGGTTTTGTTTCCTTTCCCCTCTCAGGAATGGTCTGACAGCCCCAGGCTCGAGAATGTGTCTCTCCCAAGTACTCTGTCACCCTGGTAACCATGGAGACCATGACGATCGATTAGATGCCATCTGATCTCAACCTCATAAAAAAAAAGGCAGCAGATGGCAACCAGGCCACTAGACCTGTCTCAAGAGAGACGAAGAGGAAGAGTGAGAAAGGGAAGGAAGGAGGGAGAAAGGGGAGGAGGTGGGGGTGGGTTGGCTCAGGGAGAAGAGAGCCCAGAAGCAGCTCTGGAAATGAAAATTTTAGAAAAGAATGAAAATAGAAAACAAGGAAAGCAATAGAAAAAAAAGAAACTAAAATCCACTGTGCGATAGACCCCCATAGTGAGTTGATAATTCCATGAGGAAGATAATTCTATAGAGAAAGCGAATCCGCTATCTCCTAACTTTCCACTTTATACAGAATGGTGTGGAACCTGGGCCCCAAGGCTTCTCTGAGGGATACACACAAAGTTGGCTGTCAGAATCAGTTGGACTTTGATGCATCCAAAAGAGAATGCTGAGACCTGGTTCTCAGAATGAATGTCCCTAATCAGATGAGACCTTTCAGGGGACTGGATGCGTCAATACTGGTATGTTTGTCAGCCCATCCCCAGCAGTGTTCTAATATTCCTTAAAGGAAGAAGCGATAACCAGGTCAGTAGATACCTAAGGTGAAAAGAAGACAAGAGCAGTTAAGTCAATTCTGGTAGCCTAGGAGTTTTAGCCAGTGTCCCAGAGTAATGTAATGGCTAATATTTATGAAGTGTTTATGGTATGTCAGACACTGCTAAGCACTACATACAGAATATTAATTTAATCCAGATAACAATACCATAAGATAGGTGCAATAATGATTCCCATTTTACAGAGAGGACCTGAGGCTTAGAGAGGTTAACTACCTTCATCAAGGACATACCTAGAATGCAATATGTAAATGTACAGAACAGCTTACTTATATAGAGAGTTGACTTGCTCACTCTTGTGCTTTCTTTTTCAATCCCCTCCCCCACCTTTTTTTTGAGACAGAGTTTCACTCTGTCACCCAGGATGGAGTGCAGTGGTGCAAATTCAGCTCACTGCAATCTTCGCCTCCTGGGTTCAGGTGATTCTTCTGCTTTAGCCTCTGGAGTAGCTGAGATTACAGGTGTGTGCCACCACATCTGGCTAATGTTTGTATTTTTAGTAGAGACAGGGTTTCACTATGTTGCCCAGGCTGGTCTCCAGCTCCCAGCCTCAGGTGATCCACCCACCTTGGCCTCCCAAAGTGCTGAGATTACAGGTGTGAGCCATTGCTCCTGGCCTTCTCCTCCTTTTTATTTATTTATTTTCATTTTTTATTTTTTGAGATGGGGTCTTGCTATATCAGTCAGGCTGGTCTCAAACTCCTGGGCTCAAGTGATCCTCCTGCCTCAACCTCCCTAGTAGCTGGGACTGTAGGCATGCACTACCACACCTAGCATTTTTCCCTTTTACATTTTATTTCAGATTTTTGCAGATTACAAAATAGGACATGTCCAATATAGAAAACTGCTTAAAACAAGAGAAAGAAAGGGAAAATTATCTACAATCCCATTAGTCAGAGATACGTGTGATAAGCATGTGGATTATGTAATATACATATATATAGAGAGAGAGGGAGGGAGGCAGACATGTATATTTTAAGCAAATATAGTATTAAATCTTAAATACTGTTTCATTAACATATTTTTTGGAACATTATATTATGAAAAACTTTCCATAGTTTTGACTCTTCTATTTTATCTGATTTAATGATTACAGCATTCTACTATCTGATGTATCATAATTTTATTTAACTACTTCTTTATTATTGGATTTTATTTCCAGATTTTTTCTACTATAAATAATGCTATGGTGATCATTGTTGCATATAAACCTTTTTTGTACTACTCTGACTTTTTTCTTTAGAATGAAAACATATTGGCTAAGTCAAAGTGTATGTTTTCTCAAAACTTCTAAATTGAGGTATAGCATATATACAACAAGGTGAATAAATCTTAAGTGTACTGCGAGTTGAATTCTACATGTGTATAGACAACGGTTATAACCACCACCCAGATCAATGGATTAAACATTTGCAGTGCTCCAGAATGCTCTTCATGCCTCTTCCCAGTCAGTAGCTATCCCCTGTCCTTGAACTTCATATAAATGGAATCATAGGGTGTGTATTCTTTGGTTTCTGGCTTCCTTCACTCAACATAACGTCTGCGAGATTCATCCATGCTGTAGAGGATAGCAGTAATCCATCTTTTTATTGCTGCATAGTATCCTTTAAAAAAAATAATGCAATTTATTGATTTATTTTTTTCTGATAGACACTTAGGCTATTCTGAATAAAGTTGTTGTGTATATTCTTATATATGTCTTTTGGAAGACATTTTTATACTTCAAAAAATATAAACTAGAAGAGGCATAACTAAATCATAGAGTCAGGCAAACTTTTAGCTTTAAATGCAGGGTAAACATTTTTAAAGTTTCATTTTGTTTTTAGAAAGGGGGCCTACTTTCAAATTGCTCTCCAAAACATCTGTACCAATTTGAACTCCAACTATCCAATGTCAAGAGTGTACCCTTCCCCTTCCCTCCTCACCACCAGCTAGTGGGCATTTTCATTCTTCTTAATCTTTGCCAGTGTGAGAAACAAAATGGTATCTGATTGTTTATATTGTGTTTGATGACCAAGAAGATGTTAAAAAATTCTTGCTATGTTACCAGATATTCTTGTTTCTTCTTTTGTAAATTGCCCATATACATCATTGCCCTATTTGTTATTAGCTTTAGGATAAGGCAAAAAGCTGAAATATAATCCATATAGTATGTACAGACCATTGGCATTGTAAGAAAAATTCATTGGTATTTATAACCAAAAAATATTTACATTCTTTCCATAAGTTGACATCCTGCTCTATATATTTCAGAACGAAGCTAACATTTACAGAACACCAATTACTGAGCACATTTACTCTTTAAAACAGCCCTATTTATTTAATTCTTATATCTTCATTTCACTTCAGAGGTAGCATTTAATTTTCATGAAAATTCTGAAGTTATTTAATATTCTGCCTATTTTTACAAGTGCAGAAATCAAGGCTCCACGGGGCTCAGGGTCACAAATGATTTAAGTGGTGGGACTGGGATTTAAACCCAAGACACCCCAAGTCAAAAGTAAATTATTTTTCTCTTTTCTCTAGATGCCATTGCCTAGGTCAGTGCTCTGGCCTATCATCTGAATGTCTGTATCCTCCTAAAATTTATATGTTGAAATCCTCACTCCCATATGTGATGCTGTTAGAAACTGGGGGCCCTTGGGAGGTGATTGGGTCGTGAAGGCAGGCCCTCGTGAATGATCAGCGTCCTTATGAGAGCTGCCCCCAAAAGCTCCCTCACCTCTTCCGCTATGTGAGGACACAGCAAGAAGGCACCATTTATGAACAAGGAAGTTGCCTTTACCAGACACCAAATCTGCTAGCACTTTGATCTTGGACTTCCCAGACTCCAGAAATGTGAGGAGTAACATTGCTATTACCTGTAAGTCACCCAGTTGTGGTATTTTGTTACGGCTGCCTGAACAGACTAAAATAAGCAGTGATTCTCTCTTTTTTTTCCCCCCACATTTCAAACCTAAGAGGGCATCTGAATTCTAGAACCCTATCCTTAACTCCCTTCCCTTCCGTTCTCAACACACATCTACCATTCCACTTCCAAAATCCAAAGAGTATCAGGATCTCTGGGCTATCAAGAAGATTGAGAATATGACAAAATCCATGTTAGCTCATTTATTTTAGAAACTTTTCTTTGTATGTGGTGTGTTTTAAAATCTGAGTAATGGTTTAATAAATCCAGAATTGGAATAAGTAGAAGCGGAAGCAAATCTAGGATGTTTTCCTCTTAATAAGTTACTCCTTTGGGGTCTGAAGCTTATATAATTTTAGAAGCTTTTTAAAGTAAGAAGAAGACAAGAATATTTATTCAAAATTAGGTTTGAGTGAGTGTTGATTTAAAGTGAGAAAAGAAATTGCTATCAATTACACATTTTAAAAATATTTAACTGCCACAAGAATCACAAAATTAAAATATATATATATATTTTTGGTACTTAATTGCCCTGACACCCCTATAGAATTATGCCTTCATTTTTTTGGCTCTATATTCTTGGGTCACGACTTCATATAACAAAGATTTTTGTAGTATTTTCTATCAAGAGGGTACATATAAAGATAGATTAGTCTTTCCAGTAGCATGGTTGATGAAACTTGTTTTTCATTAAGAATTTGGAAAAGTTTCTGTGAGCTTCATAATTCATTATTTGTACTATCACATAAATGCTTGGAATTATAGTCAGTTTTAGGGGATTTCCATCAAATTTTTATCATATGTGAACTCTAAGATTTCAGAGTATTTCTAATTTGTTTTCTTTGTTGTTACTGTTCAATGACTAATCTTTTTTTCTCTTTGAATTTAATGAATTTACATCAAAAAATTAGGTAGTCATTTTGCATTTAAGGAATAAAAATCTTTAAAAAAAATACAAAGAATGAAAGGATTTTAGCCAAGTTTACACTTCTTTTTGCTATAATTTTTAACAACAATTCATCTCATCATAACTTAATGCAATGTGCAAGTGCAGCACCCATTACAATCATTTAACTAAATTTAAGGAAGTACGTTGTTAACAGTGGCCCTCAGAGGAAACAGATTTATCTTCTTTTAAAAACTCTATGGTATATAAACATTACATAATAATGCTATTCAACCACCTCTTGCCTCAAGAATCATTACCCGGCCAGGCCCAGTGGCTCACGCCTGTAATCCCAGCACTTTGGGAGGCTGAGGCGGGCAGATCACGAGGTCAGCAGTTCGAGACCAGCCTGACCAATATGGTGAAACCCCGTCTCTACTAAAAATACAAAAATTAGCCAGATGTGGTTGCGGATGCCTGTAATCCCAGCTACTGGGGAGGCTGAGGCAGGAAAATCACTTGAACCTGGGAGGTGGAGGTTGCAGTGAGCCAAGATCCAGCCTGGGCAACAGAGCAAGACTCCAGTCTCAAAAAAGAACAAAACAAAACAATAAAACACAAATACTTTAATGGTTTTAAAGCAAAAGCTGTTAGACTCTAGATAGCTAAAACTATACTCATGAGTTCAAACTTACAGAAAAGTATCTCTTAATAAAATATCTTTTGATATAGGTAGGGTTTTTTTTTTTTTTTTTTGAGAGGGAGTCTGGCTCTGTTGCCCAGGCTGGAGTGCAGTGGCACTATCTCGGCTCACTGCAAGCTCCACCTCCCGGGTTCATGCCATTCTCCTGCCTCAGCTTCCCAAGTAGCTGGACTACAGGCACCTGCCACTATGCCCGGCTAATTCTTTGTATTTTTTAGTAGGTACAGGTTTCACCGTGTTAGCCAGGGTGGTCTCGATCTCTTGACCTCGTGATCCCCCCG